CAGACGTGCGTAAGGGTTGGTACCGCGGTCCTGGGGTGGAACTTGGCCGGGGAACCCCCTGGCAAAATTTTGGCTCCGGAGTTTGCGTGATTGCCGAGTTGAAATACCCGGATAGACACACACACACACACACACACACACACACACACACATACACACACCAGGAGTCATCGCAGTCATCGCAATATGCGTTTTTGCTCGCTGTAGCAGCGCTATAGCGCTGCACAATAAAAACGCTTAATAAAGGATGGTCTGACAAAGGAACAATTATTCCTATGCAAAATGCACGTGATTTCGCAAAAAAGACTGAATGAAACAGGATGCTACGTACATGTCGCTAATGACTGTATAGGCACTGGGGTGGAACCCAATCGAAAGTGATAGAACAAAACTGATCCCTTACCTTTGGAATTAATAAGCAAACACCATGCTCAATATTAATTTTAGATTTTTGTGTGTTTGTGCTGTGCAGCGCTATAGCGCTGCTGCAGTAAGCAAAAACGCATATTGTCATGAAGCTCACGGTGCGTGTGTTTGTGTGTGAGTGTATGTACGTGGTGTGTGTGTTTGTGGGCGAGTGAACTTAGTTATCTGCTTCCAACTCAGCAATCAGGAAAGGTGGGAGTTATACTTACAACCCTGAAATCAACGCTCACGTACATCTGGATTCGACGGATGCCGAAAAAAATATGCAAATTTTGCGGCGAAAAAAAGACTTCGAGAAACAAACAAGCTAGAAAGATGAAATTTCACTGATGTTTGTTGTCCATCTTTAAGCTAAAGATTTCAAATTCAGCTATCTCGCACGCCTACGCCAAGCGTACAGTCACATCAAAGCTCTGCGCCAACTTGAAAACTATTCTGAAAACAGTTGCTCAAAACTTGTCAGAATACTTATTGTCCATCTAGAAAATTGTACACCCAAAAGTTTCCAGCTGCACTTATGCCACGGCTTAGAGCACTTCAAAGATTTTTACGAAGTGACTATTTTACCGGACAAGCTGCGAGTATATTCTGCACTCCCATGTGATCCACATACAGCCTGGAGGCTACATTCCCTATGCACGGGCATGAGAAATACCCAATTTTAACGCAACCTTAAAAGCAAGAGTGTTTTGCGAATTTCGTAATCCTTTTGCTTCGACATCCTGTGCATCGACAAATTTGTGTTTTTCGATGAACGATTGCTCACCGAAAAAACGACCAAACTTCATGCGAAATTGATAGTCACGCACGGGAGGATCACGCGATTTCAAGACGCAGAGTTATCGTTCTATACGACACTTTTTCTCTCTGCATGCAAGAAAAGACCAATAGAAAGCCAAAGCCCACATATTAAACCATAATGCAAGGATAATTCGTGCTGCTAACGAATTACTGCTGTAAGTTTAATGCAAAAACACGTGATCGTACCGGCAAGCCTGGTGCGTAGCAGCTGGATTTATTTTCTAGACCTCACCCTTATCTTAAAAAAATTTACGAATTTGTCACTCCCATGTTCTGCATCTGGCTAGATGTTTATCAACACAGAAACGAGGTGGTGATGCTCAACCCACGCCGAAGAAACTCCAAGCGGCTAAATTCTTACCAAAATGCCTCTGCTGGGTGAGTCATTGAGCCAGTAACCCCTTCGGAGGACGAAGAACGTCAGGATCGCCAGAAGGTTGACCACCAGACGATGCAGCCTTGCTCAAAGCAACTATGAAAGAGAAGTTCAAAAGAAATGGCCCTCAGTCCTGCGCAGCTTCCTGTCACCTTCACAATGACGGTGGTGGAGGAATTGACGAGAGAGCGGAGGATGCTAATAATTTCGCAGTACTGAAACCGTCACCCCGTACTTTTATGCACGTGGGAACGTTAAAACTGCGGACATTAAGCAGCTACGAAGCTGTCGACTTTCTACTGCGCGAACTCCGTAACACCCGCATCGACATCCTTGCCCTCAACGAAACAAGACGGAGGGATGCGTCAACTGGAAAATTTGGCGACGGCACTCAGGTATTGCTGGGAGCAGCTGACAAAGGGATGGGCGGTATTGGATTCATTGTGAAGCCAGCAACAACCCAGGCTGGAACGCACCAGGCGGGCCGGTGCGACTATGCGTTTTTGCACTTTTCGTGCTGTAGCAAGATCGCAAGGAATCAAAGTAGCTAACCCTGTGAATTGGCCCTCGAAGTTCGGGAAGTTAATTGTGTAACTATGTGGTATGTCAGTGTAGGTGTCGACTTCAGTGACCCGACAAATGGAATGACCCCTGGTCCGCAAAAAAAGGCCACACAAGAAGAGTTAAGTTTAAAATCTTTTAGTTGCACAGGAGCAGGAAAAATTCCCTTAAAATTAAAGCCTTCGGCTTTTCCCGTTTTTGTCTTTAGGGTAATGTTCCCTACTCATGTACCACCAAAAGATTTTAAATTCAGTTTTCCCATCAAAATTATCACGCGTCCGTACATGAGTACTGGACGGTTTTAAGGAGCTAAATTTAAAATCTTTTGGTCGTACATGAGTAGGAAACATTACCCTAAAGTTTCAGCTTTCTAGCTTTTCCCATTTCCAAGCTTGTAATTTTCGCGCCAAATTTTCCACGCGTTCGTATGTGGGCACGGGCGCTTCTAAACTCCTGATCTTGGTCGTACATGAGTAGGAAACATCCCCCAAAAGTTTCAGCTTTCTAGCTTTTCCCGTCCCCGAGCTAGTAATTTTCGCGCCAAAATTTCCACGCGCGCGTACTTAGGCTCGGCGCTTCCAAACAGCTGATTTTGCTCGTACATGAGTGGGGGACATTCCCTCAAAGTTTTAGCTTTCTAGCTTTTTCCGTTCCCGGGTTAGTGATTTTCGCGCCAAAAATTTTCACGTGCTCGTTCGTGAACCCCTGGCGGTCCTAAGGAGCTGAATTTGAAAACTTTTGGTCGCGCATGAGTATGGAACATTGCCCCAAAGTTTCAACTTTCTGGCTTTTCTCATTCTCGAGTTATGAATTTTCCCGCTAAAATTTTCACGTGCCCGTACCTATGCCCTGGGCACTCCTGCGCAGCTGAATTTGAAATTTTTTTGTCATACATGGGTAGGGAGCATTCTCCCAAGGTTTCAGCTTTCTGGCTTTTCTCGTTCCCAAGCTAGCGGTTTTCGCGCCATAACTTTTACGTGCTCGTACGTGGGGCCCAGACGTGCATGGGAGTTGAAACCGCGGTCCTGAGGTGGTACCTGGCTGGGAACATACTGGCAAAATTTCAGCTTCAATGCTTGC